GTCTAAATTGAAAACAACGTTCAAACCTATAATTGCGTTGTATAAAAACCGCAATTTATATACGTGTGTATGCACAAGAGATGTTTTGGGCTTAATACAGAACAAACAACATTTTCCAAAAGACCATAAAAGTGAAAAAGTATATTTTAACAAAACGGATTTGACTAGTAGGTGGAACATCGGTTGTTATTTAACCCTGCTGATTGCCATGGCGATTGCCAAATAAACGGACCACTAGATGTAACGGAATATAGAAAATCCTATATAAAGCGCTGTATAAGCACGGGTTAACGGATTTAAAATATCTGTAAAAGAGTTGTCATATGTTTAGACGTATATATATATATATATATATATATAGATATATATTTAAGAACATCCGTTGTTCGACCTGCTAGTCAAATTCGTTTTATTAAAATACACTTTTTCACTTTTTTGGTCTTTTGGAAAATGTTGTTTGTGCTGTATTTAGACCCCTTCACCAAGAAATTTGTTTTGCATGCACACGTATAAAAATTGCGGTTTTTATCCACGTTTGAACGTTGTTTTCAATTTAGACTTGTTTATATATATATATATATATATATATATATATAATTCGTCTAAATATCAGCCCAACAATGTTGAATCTGTAAATTTTTATTTTTAAATATATATATATATATATATATTTCGAGTAAATAACAGCCCAACCTAGGCTCTAGGTCGAGTGGTCAAGCGCGTCGGGCACAGTGCAAGGCGATTTGATGCCATGCTTGTACTGTGCCCGACGCGCTAGACCACTCGACCACCTAGGCTCTAGGTCGAGTGGTCTAGCGCGTCGGGCACAGTGCAAGGCGATTTGGTGCAACGATTTCTCAGTAGCATGAGTTCGAATCCCGGCCAGGGAAGAACAAAAAATTTGCTAACGCAACTTTACAGATTTAACATTGTTGGGCTGTTATTTAGACGAATTATATATACAGAATGTGTTTGCAGCCTTGTATCACTGGTGATCCGATGGATAAAATCTGTTGTAAGGCGTCACTGGTTCAGACGTACTTATATATATATATATATATATATCTACATTATGATAAAAATTAAGAAGATGTAGTTTGACACGATTTTATTTAGGGGCCAGCTGAGGACCACCTCCGGGTGCGGGATTTTCTCGCTGCGTTGTAGACCCATTGGTGGCCTTCGGCTGTTATCTGCTCTATTTGTTGTCGAGTTGTTGTCTCTTTGGCATATTACCCATATCCATTCTCAATTTTTTTTTGATGTGACGGCCTGGTTATTATATTATCATTATTTACGGCTAACCAATCATAGCTGATCTGAAAGATATACCATTCTTACTTGCCATTATACATCATGTACTGTGTTACATTCCTAGATAGAGCCGACGGAAACCTATATTTGTTATATAGCCAAGTTGGTCGGTTGGTCTACGGCGCTGGACACAGTGCAGGCGGAGTCAAGACGATGTCACTGATGACACTAAAAAATCTACACTAATATTAACGACAATCGGAAAGTTTTCTTTCCCTATTGTTAATTTTCCTTTATTTGACTGTGACGTTCCTTTGTCACCACTTTATTGTGTTTTTTTTTTACCTCAAATTGTTTGATATGACCGTGTCTGTAGTGACGTTTTGGATTTCAATAAGCGTAATCTATGCATTTTAAATAAATTGTCAAGACCTGGATTTCGTTACCTCAGGTTGTTTAAAACCTTTATTAAATTCTTTCATGTATAAAAACATTTGGTTGCTAATTTTGGCTGTACCTGTGTCTTTAAATATTGTTTTTGATGGTAAAAACATTTGGTTTTGTTGTCAGTAAATGAAAACTTTACTAAATATAACACATATGTAAGTTCGCTCTTCTACAATACCAATATTTTGGTATTGCAAAAGATTATATTTTTCTCTGAGTGTTAATGACATCTTTACACTAAATCTGTTAGATGGTGGATGTGTACTGATTGATAATTAAGTCTTAGAAACATGATTTTTTACAAAATGTTATTGGCTTTAAAGTTACTGTCAGTAACTACGCGTACTCCCAGGTCTGTACTTAGTGTCTGTTTTGATCTTAGGGATGAGGGATGGATATATACCCTGTCACGTTCTTCTGTGTTTTTTTTTCTTTGTATCGATCAGATCAGGTAAACCTCTTTCAACTGATTTTTATAGTTTATTGTTATGTTGTGCTGTTACACTACAATCTTAGGTTAGGGGTAGAGAAGAGCGATCACAAGTCACATGTTTAATCCCGCATTTTTTGTATGCCTGTCCAAAGTCAGGTGCCTGTAGTTCAGTTGTTGTTGTTGGTTCATGTCTGTCATATTTGTTTTTCGTCAATTGTTTGTAATAAATAAGGCCGTTAGATTTCTCAATTGAGTTGTTTCACATTTCTCATGTCGGGCCGTTGTATATCCGATTATAGGGTATGTGTTTTTCTCATTGTTGAAGGCCGTACGGTTGCCTGCAATTGCTTACATCCACTTCATTTGAACTTGAGTGGATAGTTGTTTTATTGACAATCATACCACATGTACATCTCCTTATTTTTATATTTTTAAAATCCGAATGATAATGATTTCAAGCATGTTTTGCCATATAGAAGGCTTTTAAATACATTATCGTTAGCACTATGTCTTTGAATACATTAATATCATTTGATTTTCCAGATAAAAAAGACCGTACAATATATTTCATTTCTGGTTATAGCCACCTTGGATCTGCAACTTATGATGGTAATGATTTGAAAATGAATAGGATACATTTCTGGATGTATTATATAGAAATGACAATAGATCTTTCCGATGACTATATTTTCTTATCGGATGTTATTTACATGTTTCAAGTCAACAAACACAGCAACTATTCTGATCAAATTATGTGGTTCTCAGACTATAGTATAGTGGATATAAAAGTGTATGAAGATACGGGTAAGATACACTTATGATCATTCAATGTTTTTGTTTAATTATTTCATGTCTTGCTATCAACTAATGGAATGATACATAGTACTAGGTTGATATGCTACAGTGAATTTGTACAATCAGGGATTATGTAGAATTCTTAAATTTTCCGGGATTATGTAGAATCACTGGTTAGTTTAGGGATAATATATATCACTAAAGTGTTCAGGGATTATGTATAACATGTATAATCACTAGAGAAAACGTCAGGGATTCTACATAATGACTGAAATGAAGAAACAGTTTTGTTTTATAAAGAAAATGAATGAAATTTAAATTATTTATACTATAAATTCATATTAAAACATTATTATAAACAGGAATGGTAAAATGTTAAGCACAATACATGTGTTATTTAAACTGTTAGGCACAATCTTTTAAATGTTAAGCACAATATATCAGAATGATAACTTCAATATGTTTAAATGTTAAGCACAATATATATTAAAATGATAACCTAAATATATTAAAATGTTATACACAATATATTAAAATGATAAGCACATTATATCAAAATAATTGGCACAATGTATCAAAATATTTGGCACAATATATCAAAATATTTGGCACAATATATTAAAATGTTACACAACATTTTAAAATGTTAAGCACAATATTTTCAAACAATCATTTATGTTTACAAACTAAATTTGAATGGCATCAACTATTGCACATTGTCCTGCTTTTCTACAGGCACAGCTATTTGATTCACATCTGTTTTACCACACCATTCTAACTTAAAAAAAACCTTGTCCTTCACATACCAAACCAGATTTTACAGCATGGCTTAGAGAAAAACAGTTTTCAGTACAAACATCTGAATGTACCAAAGAAAGGGAATCGACAGCCTCGAACTGATTTCTGATGCAAGATCGATCCAGCAGAATTCTGTGTTTTGTGGAAAGGCGATATCTTTTTTCAGTCTTTTCGTGATTAATTGCCATAATGTTTTTGGGGTCTATCTTTCCTTAATCAACATGTGGAATTGGTATGAGAACATTACACCCAATGTCGGCCTCCTCCAAAATTTTGTTCAATCTGCCAATCATTCATTCTGTCTGTTTTCTATACATTTAGATTCGATATTTTTGGTATCAAACAGTAGTAAACTAATGAGACGCAAATCGTAGAAATGTGCATGATAAATGGTACTTTTGTTTCTGTATATCTATTTCTTTAAAATTTTTGCTATTTTTAAATTGTATTTTTTTAAATCCATGTCCTCCCTCCCCCTCCCCCTCCTATTTAATGAATTATGCTGTAAAGAGCGTAATGTGTATGAAATATTAAGGATAGTAGCAGCCTTGAAACAATGTAAATACTTACTTTGTCAGCAGATAGTAATAAGCTGTTATTAAACTTTCAATGAATACAAATAAAAAAATGATAATTGTCTGTAGTTGATTTTTTTAATTAATGATAATCCCTGAAATCATATTAGGGAATTTGTAGAATAATTAGTAAAATTTTCAGTAATTATATACAATCACTGGTCATTTTCGGGTATTATATATAATCACTTATGATTTTAGTGATTCTACATAATCCCTGAAAAATCAGGGATTCTACATAATCCCTGATTATACAAATTCACTGTAACATATACACATTTTACCGTTATTTGTAATATATAATTTTCAGCACGCAAAGATAATTTTGTAATGAGTGTTTATTCCACTATGCAGAAAGGTTATTTCCGCTAAATAATTATATCTAGGAGAAATACCTAGAAATTACAATTTGATTACAAAATCATAATGTTTGTGACTGTTTAATTTACCATAGTACACAGCTATCAATGATTAATTATGATGAAGAAAAAAAACCTTAATAAACGCAAGATAAACATTTTTAAAAGAAAATCGTTATTTAAAAAAAACTTCCGAATGTTCGGTAATTTCATGGAATATATTGTTAAAAAGACTTTCGTACCATACCGTTACAACTGATTATTTAGAAAAAACTAGTTTATCAGAAAATGACAATTGTATAACAATTACTCTTTTAAGGCAGTAGAGACTGTAAAAAATATTCAGAAATATATGCCGAAGACAAAAGATCAAAGGACTATTTAATGGACCTGTCAAGTGATCAAGTCATCAGTGATGAATATTTAGACGCCAGTTGGTACAGACCTTTTAGTGCAAACGGCGATAAAATGCCAACTTCTCCTCCTGGCAAAATGCACTGTGGAACGATAAATCCTATTTGGCTTAATGGTATTTATCATACTAAGTTTAAATTATGTACATTTGAACTGTATAATATCTTATATTGTGCGTTATAATCGCTTTATATATTGTATATTGTTTCATCTTATATGTCATTATGTTAAAATGATTCAGCATAACACTGTTTTGCTAGCCAAGCAGAACATTGGTTTCAATAAAGGAACAATGGACTTATAGGCAATAAGTTATAATTAATAATGTCTTGTTGAGCCATGTGAAATACAATTTAAGAAAATTAGTAACTTATTATGCATATAACATACAGAAATAAAATAAACATTAATAAAGCTGCATGCAAAAAAAATGCTATATGATATCGTACGGAAAGTGTTTCAAAACATGATTGATTGATTGATTAAGAACAGAATGCTCAGTTTGTTTAAATGAGAAAGATTTAAAAAGGAGAGGTCATATAGTGCATACTTTACATTTCCAACAAACTGATGAAATCACACAAGAAACGAGCGATTCAGCTTAAGTTACGAAGCGAATACTAATGCTCGACTTTTCGTGATTAATCACACTGGTTTTATACTAGTAGATTGCAACACTAAGTATCGTTTATTACAACATCAATCATCATAATTAAAATATACTCATTTCAAATTAAATAAAGTAATATACAGAATTAAACATTTTAAAAGAAAAGCTAACAAAAAAGGTATTTTTCGAATAAAAACATGTTGTCAACGATCAATATGATCAATAAACAATGTACTTTTTCAAGTATCTATTAATATTAGGAACTTTACCTACATATGATGATGGTAACGTTAGCAGAGAAGCATGCGTTCAAACAGAGAATGCCATTTGTGAACAGTCCATTGACATAGAAATAAGGAACTGTGGAGGATATTATATTTATTTTCTAAAGGAAACACCACCGAATTCATCTTTTTGCTTTGGTATGAAATGATTTATCTTCAGCAACAAATATTCTATCAAATCAGTATTTTCCCAAAATTTATACCCTTATTTTATCATGATGTAAGGATTTAGTGGAATTAAGAAACTAAAAGAGGTAAGACGTCTCGTTTTCAGGTTGGGTACGTCAAAATAATATATGCGTATTGACTTTTTGTATAAGTGTTTTATGGTTGTGTTAGTTTTTAATTCACATGCTGTTTTGGCCTGTCATTTCCTATGCTAGATTTTGCGATTTTTGTTTGTTTATACATAATTGTTCATATAACAATGAAAATATACTTAGTTATATTACTTACAACACAAATATCAGACATTACCATAGGCTTATACAGATAACCAATTAAAATGAGTTATCCATAAATATCACGTATGCGAAAAGTTGCTTCTTTAGTTTTCTCGAATTCTTTGGCAATTTATACCTTTCTGAACTCATTGTTTATAACACGAATTTGATCAAAGTGTGGTTTTCGATAATCTCAGTAGATGATTGGCCAAGTAAAAGATTACAATCTTAATCAGCTATGTGGATGTTTTTTTTTAAATGTGTTATAGAAATTTACATTTTTACATTTGTAAAGCTAGGTTCACACTGCGGATCAGATCAACTCGATGATCTTGATTGCCCAAATTCAAACGACCAAGCGTAACAAAATTCTTGATCGGGCTTGTTTACGACTTCTACCCGACCGCTATCCGACTACACACGACTATAACTCGACAATTCACGACTTCTTAATGACTCCTTCACGACTCCAACCCGACCATTAATTGAATCCATATACAACTATTCCGACCAATTCACGATCTCTACAAGATCTGTACTCGACTAGCTAGACCAAATAAACAATGCTTGAACTCAGTCCGATCTCGACCAGACCAGATCGACCTGATTTAGTCGGGTATGTACATTTTTATAAAAACGTCTGATTATTTCATGCCCCGCGGCAGCGGAGGTGAAATTTAGTGTTACCTTTGTCCATCTGTACGTACGTCCGTCCAAAAAAAATAGTTTCCGTTCTTTATTTTTTGCTTGAAACAAATGTTATGAAACTCATACAAACTGCTTATTATCATAAAACACAGATCAAATTCGAATTTGTGTGGCGTTATTTTTATCGTTCTTGAGTTATGGCCCTTTATAACGCCATATACAGGCGGATACATTATCTTTGTCCCATGAACACATTCTCTATTTATTTGGTTATCATTCAGTAGTTGGCAGTGGCTGATGGATAAGGGGACCACTATATGGGCAGTATGAGAAACTGTTACGGGAGCTCAACTCAAAGGACTACAAGTTCATATTGGTCAGTGTTGGTGGAAGTGCGTCCGACGTTCAACTCTTCAACCATTCTGAACTAAGGACTTTAATTGAGTAAAACACTCACTGCCCGGTAATAAGAAAACACTCATATCTTATGATGCATTCCCATGAGACTTGTCACCGGATTGGTACATATGTTAAACAATACGAGTAACGTGTATTTGTTGGGTTTCGTGTTGCAAAGTTTTTAGTTTTCTATGATGTATTATTTGGACTGCTGCTTATCTTGTCGTTGTTTTTCGTTTTTCTCCATGTCTGTGTCAGTTTGTTTTCGACCTTTGGGTTTGATTTTTCCTTTGGTATGTTAGGTCTCTCTTTTAAAATTTGTATAAGTACAGCTAAGTACTGTGCATGGAGGAATATTTGCGGAGTTAATCTATTGTACAGTTTAAACTTGATATGGAAAATCCTGTGGCCATGCACATCTTCATTATGCATGTGTATGAACATCCTACAAAATAATAAAGTTGTACCTCCAAAACTATAGGAGGAGATAGCCGGACAAACAATGTATTCTTATCCGGTTTGACGGGCAGGGGTAAATTAATATCTCCCCCCGCCCGACATTTTGTCGCGGGGGCATAAAAAAACCAAGGACAATCTATTCTTGCTGAAGCAAGTCATGAGAGTTCAGATCTGCGACCCTTTTATAGAAACTTGTAGCAGGCATGTATACTCGAGTATAAATGAGTAGATGTCGAAGAGTGTTCGAATTTAGTCAAATAGAGATCGGGTATTGGTCGAGTTGGTCTGGGATCCTAAATAATAGTAGTCGCAGTGATCGGGAAACGATCGGGAATTGGTCGAGTTAATCTGGGTCACAGACCAAAGAAGATGGAATGACGATGATCGAGAAACGATCGGATATTAATCGAGCAAAGGTCGAGATGATCGAGTACTTATCGGTAAAATATTTGTTTTACGACCAAAATCGATCTCTACACGATCCTTTCTTGATCAATTCGATCCATGCTCGACGAATTCCCGATCTCTTTTCGAGTGATTTTCTTCTCGATCCTTCCTCGAATTTTTTTGACACGTCAAAAATTCTCGGGTAGAAAGTCAGATCGATGACGAAAAAGGTAGACTACACCGAACATTCTTGTCAATCGCTTAATCTGACTTGATCAGGATTGATCGAGTTGGCCTGATCGGCAGTGTGAACCTAGATTAAGACAGAATGCGAAAAGCCTTCGACAGGGATTTACATTTGTGACTGAAAAGTATCGAAAACATCTTATACTGAGTCTGTTCGAGCGCTCCGGTTGTCAGTTAGAAACATACATTTTGGAATCTTATTTGAACTTCAAGCAGATATACAAAATCTCACCACATCAACTATTTAGCTCATCACATTCAAAATGTGTTTTGATTTTATTTGATATTACCAACCCTTCGCTTCCTGACCCAAGCAATCATTAGATGGAAATATTCCAAACCAATAATATACACATAATATGTTCTGATTTAAACGTAAATGATTTTTACTGAATCCAATTTTAAAATATAATCCAATTGTACAAATTATATAAATTCTCTCGAAGAATTCTGTTATTTGTAGTTTTATCCGAAGTGTACCATAAGACAATTCAAGTGTTTTTTAATTGAATAAATGAAATACAATAGAATATGAAGTTATTACATGATCCCTGTTGGGACTGTGAGAGTCGTGTTTAGGAAGACATTCAGGAGAATGGAATGTAATATAAAATTGTGAGTATGTTAAATCAATCATTATAAGTTATGCTATGGTATACATACATACTATTGTTAAATACAAATAAGTTGGTTAACAATACATAGGTATTACATGTAATATTTACTTATAGGAAGTGGTCCAGTTATCTGTCCCGTTGGTACATCGTCAGAAACAGGGTTTTACCCTGGGTGTAGCTGTAAGTAAAATTGTCTGCATTTCATACTGAAACCTGTAAGTGCATCGAACTGAATAAAGTGGTCTTCTCATTGCCGCAGTAAAACAGACTACCAACGTTATTGGAAAGACATCGAATATATTTTTTTTTTATTCTATTGGGGTACTCTACGGTGGATGAGTGATAACAATACATATTCGTCATTCATGTTGTTTAACGTTATAATTGCTTTCAATAACTCATGCGCACAAGTTAATTCAAAAATTATGTAGCGGAAACAGACTGTTCACTTCATAGATATTTTGAATGATTGCAATGTTTGTGGCAGCAAAACGCATAATGCTTTGGCCAAACAAAAAGTGTCAGTAATGAGAGTAAAATATATAATAATATTACTCGTTATTCTAGTTTACATGCACGTACATTTAACATCTAAAAGTTATAAAATGTATTGGAGGGCAATAGGAAAATTGTTTTCATAAATTATTGGCTCTTGTCCAGTATTTACTTTCTTCATATTGTAGCATCCTACCCAAAGACACTTGTGTCTGTTGCTGTACAGACAGAACTTTTAGAAGGTTCAAGTATCAAAATTCAAGGATTCGATCCCACACCAAGTTTGTTACCAATATTCAGATGCAAGATTGATGAAGGGTCAAATGGGACGTATCTTTACGACATCTTCTGGTATATAAACGGATTTAAAATTACATCGTATAACAACATTCCATCAAGAGATATGAACACTACTCTACTGAAACATACAGACTGGATAGATAGCTATAAAATGAATATGGAGGTATATAATATGATTTTTCAGATGTCATATTTAAACATGTATGATACAGAAAACTGCCAAATGTAAAAATGAAAACACATTTGTAAAAATCTCATACGTCCGCAGCGTTTTGTCTGGATTACTTTCATCAGCAACACTAAAAGCCAAATATTTGAAAGTCAATGATGTACATGTATAAGACCATAAACAGTTGAAGAGCTACATGACAAAAAAAGACTTAAAAAACAAATCAATTTAAGTTTTTCGGAGGGAGCTTCTTTATAATTTGAAAATGTATTACCGGACAATTTTAGAAATTTTTTTTTTATTCATAATGACAGTACAAAAGTAAAAAGGATTGAGCTGATAATACGCTCGGATTCAGATTATCTACCGCAGAGGTATTGACCTAGCTTTGTGTAAAATGAAAACAATACGTTTTAAATATCATGTGTACGACGCACTTCTCTAAATTTACTTTTATCCTGGACGTTCGCTGCCAAGTAATTAAAAGCTTAGGCTGTATGTAAAACCCAAAATATTTGAAGCGCTTTATTACCACAAACATGACCCAGGACCTAAAAAATAGCAAAATCAACTTTGTCTGAGAGAGTTGAAACCTTAGTTGCATTACACCTCCAACATTTATAAACGGACAATTCTGGAAAAGTCTGAAGTACTGACTACTCAGCTAATTATACCATCGGGGACTGATATTTAACCAGCAGAGATATCGACCCAGTGCTGTAAATAATGAAGTATTGTTGTTGTTATTTAATAGAATCTGTTTAAATTCACATATAGTTATGCAGTTAAATCAATTATATCAATTTTGTTTTGACATGTTAGATACAGCTTGTCATGATAACATATCCGTTGGTATAATCAAACAAACTTTATAAGGTTATAATAAACAAAGATTTTATAAAAATATATTGTAAACATTATTGAATTATCAACAATCAAGCACGAAATAATATATTTTATAGTTTTTGATTAACGTTGAAGATTTACGTTTGAGACTATTTTATCTTTTACCCATAACCATATTATAGTTAATGTCAATTCGTTTGATGTGTTTAAGCTTTTGATTTGCCATTTGATAAGGGACTTTCCGTTTTGAGTTTTCCTCGGAGTTAAGTATTTTTGTGATTTTACTTTTTATCTTGACAATAAGATTACTGCTATATTATAAATCAATTGTAACATTTTTTTTTTAATTTGAACTTAACGTTCGTTGTTAAAACAACTAATCAAAGTTAACATGTTGTTTAATTTAGTACGTCAAACAAGCTTCTTGTCACAAAATGAATCAAATAATTAAGAAAGTTAAAGAACGTTAAACACCAAAAGTTCTGAAAAAAGTATATGTCAAATACGGCTAAGGAAATTCATACCTGATTACAAATATCAGCAGGCATGCTCATACGTGTATGTATCAATTTGTATTATATTTAATTTGTAGGTTCAATGTGCTACTAGAATGAGGTATACAGCTAATTCAGTTCCTGGACCATTACAGTACAGTGCAAATTTCAAGGCAGGGATATTTGTAAGTTAATCGTATAAAAATATTGCTGAATTTAAAAAAAAAAGAAGTGAAGGTAAAGAAAGGCAACAGTAGTATACCGGTTTTTAAAAGTCATAAATCGATTGAGAAAAAACAAATCCGGGTTGCAAATCAAATCAAAACCAAAGGAAACACATCAACTATAAGAGGAAAGCAAAGGAACAACAGCAACATATAAGTGAAACAAATACGAACGCCAACACACATAGAAATGAACTATTTGATAACAACTGCCATATTCATTATTTGGTACAGGACATTTTAAGAAAAAATGTGGGTTGAACCTGGTTTAATGTCATGCCAAAGTTCCCGGTTAAACAATGTTAAAAAAACATTGCTAAAGCACTACGTGACAGAAATACAACACGTACACAAGCAAAAACAATCGTAACATAGACACGCACAACCAAATAATATAATAGTCGACACAACATGCAATCCGCTGAATATAAGTCAAAACATTCTTTAAAACTTAAAGAAAATCCTTCTTGAAAGATATACGCGATATCAACTGTTTAAGCAAAATCAAATACGAAAAGAGGTGGCAATGCTGTCTTGTTGCTTGTTGCTATTAAAAGGTAAAATCCTTTAAAATATTCGCGTATAGTCAATATATTACTATTCAGAAACTATTTTAGACAATGTAGTATGATGATGTGATGTTCAGGTAAATAACAACTTCTCAAAAGTCATATAAGTAAAACAAAAATAGACTTGATATATTGTAGATAAATGTAATTTGTAGAACCTTCATAACTGTAGTGTATTGACTGCAGTGGTTAAAACCTAAATTGACCGAAAGACTAATTATGACTTATTCATGTTATTGATTTATTCCAGTCGTTTGAAGGTACATGAGCATAAATCAAAATGGCTGTTCCACTTCATAATGGCTTTACCAGTGTGCACTCTCAGTATTTGATTCAAAATCCATCAACCTTATAAAAATAACAAAATGAAAAACAATTATCTAAATTAAATAAAAACCTTCTTGAACAATATACGTGATATCAATTTTTTAAGAAATTCAAAGTACGAAATGAGTTGGCATGCTGTATTGCTGCTATCAACGAAACAATACGAAATACAGTTGTTTCCAGTACTATCTGCTTAACCAAAAAACTAAACACATATCTTGTGTGCCTTATCTTTTTTATGATAATTCGATTAATATGACCTTCAAGTGGAACCATCAAACCATTTATTATTTTAAACGCTTAGTGTTTGATTTTTAAACATGCTTTTTATCTGCAAATAAATATTCAATAATTGGGTTATCAGAATATTTACACATTGTAGTTAGCGAATATGTATGAAAGTTAACATGATGGTTAACATATTAAGTTGTTTGATACCCCCTGCCTTGTTTTACTTATTGTATTGGACAGTTTAAGTGTAGGTCTTTCAAAGCTGGTAATTTTATATTCTAAAGAGATGTCAGAATAAAAAAAAAAACACGTTCATTTACATTGGCTAAGAATACATAATGGTTAAGTATACTACAGTTGATTGATATAAAATTCCTTTTTGAAATTCAGTAATATAATGTGTAGTATAAGGCTTCTGTTATTTTCGTTTTAGCCGGACAAATATGACTATACGGTCATTGAAGGCGAATCAATTACAATTTCATTCAAGTCGACAGTTCCGGTTGGTTGCATTGCCTCGCATAAAACTCTCATGGCTCACTGTGATCAGAGCTTTTATGTGTTTCAACCAAAAAAGAATCCCAACATCGGATCGTGTTCTAATAACATTGCCATAAAAGATATCATATTCAAAGCACAGTTTTGTGGCATCAAATTTGGAGCCACTGACTGGCAAGAAGTGAAGAAATTGGAAGTGTATGGTTTTAGTGATGGTCTGTATAATAGTGGAGATAGATCAACATACATAAGGCTTTCCACTTCTGCTGTATCAGCATTTAATGAAATGTGGCAAAATGTACAAATTCCGGACATTAAGGTTTGTTTATTTATTGAAGAAATATAGAATAAACATAGTGACTCACCATGTATTAGTTTTAGCTTTTAAGTGCCTGAAAATTGTTAAAAGAATGTTTACCATTTCACATTCGTGAATAATAAAACAACAATATAGATTCACTGCAATACATGTTACAATATGTTTACGACAATCACAATAATTTTATAAACAACTAGGGCTGTTTGAGGGGGAACTTACACTACAGGGAGATAACTCTGTAAAATCAGCTAAACGTTTTAATCACGTTATATTGATAAGGAAATATTAAGCTTCTCAATGATCAAAATCAGTGTTGGTCAAACTGCTATATATCCAATGAAATTTTTCCGAGAAAGTGTGTGGTTCAAGATTATTGTCAAAGGGTCAAAGTAAATATTTTGTCAAAATTTTATGAAAATTAAACGAGCCAAATTAATTTTAGTCATGATGTTTGGTACCACTTTAACTAGAATATTCAATTCATTTCAATATACCATGAACGTAAGTTTAAAAGACGAGGGTCATTAGCAGTTATGCGAGGTCAAATTTAGTGACCCCATGACGATCAATCAACCCAAGACAAAACAAAAAGAGCAATCTATTTTTAACAGATTACCTGAAGCGTAATATTCTTGAGCTAGATTAAGTATATCACTTATTCGTTAGTTGTTGATACATATAATATGCGAATGAATGTTCAAACAGAAGACATTCAAAACTAATAGGGAAAAAAAAGCTGACAACGCAATGACAAAAACAATTGAATATCAAAGACGGAACAATCTGGACACCAATATGAACAGATGAACATCAAATCTCATTTTATACTTCAGGTTAAAGTTTTAGATAAAGATGCATTAATGACAAGCAGGCTTTGTCAATCAGTGAATGATCCTCATATTTCGACCTTTGATGGACAGTATTATCACTTTATGGACATTGGTGAATTTGTTATGTACAGAAATGACAGAGGACCTTATTGGGTGAGAATGAAAACTTACAAGTTATAAGATTAAAACATAAACTAAATGAATAATTTAATAATGTGAAATTCTAAGAAAGGCATATACATACCTGTGCATTGAATAAATCATTTGTATCAGTGTGTTATTGTTTTGTCTCATAAATTTGAAGTATTTTCAAAGTTAAGATTGGTCAATTCGAAAGTGGCAATCCCAAATCAAGATTACAAAAAATTGATCGCTCCTTTGAAAACCGGAGTTTCAAATTTTACCACCATTTATAATTGAGATAAATATACATTAAACTAGGTTGTCCCGATATCCACAAACTGAAAAAAAATATAATATTGCATCAAAAACTTCATCCTTTATTCCTTGTTTATTTTATAGGTCCATGCGTTGTTGACCAACTGCGGATTTGGTTGGCAAGGATCTGCTTGTCACTGTGCGATAGCAATACGAAGTCGTAGTTCCTTATTTGTAATCAGGACTTGTAAATCTATTTCGAGGACGAAAAAAGAACTACTAACAACACCAGTTACCAAATTAATAAGTTGCGATGACAACGACCTACTTATTGACTTTAATCAAGCACGAAACGAGTACAAGGTATATAATCAGTACTTCTGTAAACAAAAAAAAAAATAATATAACAAAAAGAGGGGCGAAAGATACCAGAGGGACAGTCAAACTCATAGATAGATAATAAACTGACTACGCTATGGGTAAAAAAAAATGAGATACCAAAGGACAATGCATAATCATCTAACAACACAAAGGCCTGCAAGTAAAACCACAAAATGACGAAAACCAAATATTGCACAGAAAACCATTTATGAAGCATAGGAATTCCTCACAAACACCAAGAGACTCCAACTAGTTTAGATATGTTCACAGTTCTGGCCCAATTGGAATCTTTTGTCGTGTTAATATGCATATATTCAGTATTATACTGAGTTGACAAACGGTAATATTTATCTTCACACAATATACAGATATATAGACCCATTGGTGGACTTCGGCTGTTGTCTGCTCTTTGGTCGGGTTGTTGTCTTTTTGACATATTCCCAATTTCTATTCTCAATTTAAGTTCTGAATCGTCAAAACAGCAATTTATGAAAAAGATAAAAAATCAGCCATAAAAACTTGTATATGCCATTATGGTAACTACTGCCGAAGGTCTTGACTATGGACAGGCACATGCAAATGTTGAGGAGATTAACTTTATTTAAGATCTTTATTATTCCTCCTTTAATATACTTTTTTTTCTGTTATAAAACATTGCATCCTATCACATATACATGTTATTTATTTGTTATTTAGGTAACTTTACCAATCGGAACAGAAATCAAGATCTCAATATCGAGGTGGTCGGGATTTATCGGTACTGTCACAGTAAAACCTTCAATTTATGACATAAATGAAGCCAAAGGACTGTGCGGTGTTCCGAGTGTCACAAAAGATCCATCAGATGATTTTACTCATCGTCATAATGGACCAGTTAGCAGTGATCAGGAATTCGCTAAATCATGGAGGTAACATATTTTAAAAAATGAAGAAAAAAAATGATAAACCATGACGAATCAATCGTTCATGTCAAATATCAAATAACTTTACATCATAACATGTTTATTTGGTTTTAGTAATTTAATAAACTGAGGTACTCTTGATATCAATGTTCGCGTCGATGATCTAACAATTTGAAATGGAAGAATAATCGGTCTTCAGATTGACGGTTATTTTTATTAATCCCATCCACCGGATGCATTTTAACACATATTAAGATACCTTATTTGAGTTTATCTGCTTATATCGAAATGTATAAAGTCTTTATAAATATCAATATTAATTACTTATAGAATTACATCAGCAATGACGAATGAACAATTGTTTGTTGATGAACCCGATTTTATCAACGATGACTTGATTCTGAATCTTCCGAACAATCCAACTAGCATAAATAATTCTTCAACATTTTGTACATGTGAGGATCAGGCTGGTAGTACGGAATCACTTGATGATTTCAACATCATACAATGTAACTTGACGGAAAGCACCGAGTTTTGCTCTAGTTCGCAACAGTCTGGAAATCAGATTAACTCTTATTCTACTTCCTGTACCATCTCTAAACGTAAAAGACGTTCTCTAGATCTCTCTAGTGTAGTTCGACGAAGCACACCTGATGCTGATGACAGTGATGATGTAACTGAGTCTCAACCTCTAGTTTTTGATGAAGATATTAACAGTACAGATGTGGTAAATATCCTTAACGTTACTATATTTGTAATTTCAGTTGTAAAGATCCAAACAAAAAATTGCCATTTACAGCTTTTATTCACAAAATTGGCGTATAATATTAACATTTTGCGTCTTCTGTACATGGAATTAAACTAAAATCTGTTTGGAACTCATAAATAACTTTATTGAGAATAGAATCTTTTGATTTATAAGCTATATGCATATTGTTGAACTGCTGTTAACAAGAGAAAAATAATTAGTAACGCTGGCTCTATCTATAGAACCGTAGCGCTAATAGCCATTTTGATACGTAAAGATAGCTTGTTGATCGCAAATTGTTAAACAATATCACAAGGACCATAAAAGCTACGACTCCTTAGCTGGCTCCACAATATAAATATATTCTCATGAAGTATTAAAAGGAGAAGACAAGAAGAACGCACTAAAATTTGAAATAAATATATAAAGGAGAAAAATTGTGATTACTTGCTGACCCCTGCATACAAAAATAATACATTTTCAATCGGAAATGTAGAAAAGCCTTAATAATTTTATCACATATAAGTTTGTCAGATATCATAGTTTATATGGTGACACGTGTCTTACATAATTGTTTAAATGCTTCAAACATTTTTTTTGGAAAACAAAACGCGGTACTGCAAAAGCTGACAAATTATAACAGATTTTGAAAGGTTAGGATAGATATTGACATCTGAACAACGGTCATTGGAGGTCAAAAATGTTTAATGTTATGACAGTGATAAATCAGTTAATATTTGGGAATTAAAGTGTTCAGACTGTTTCATCTTATTCATTATCAATATAACTGAAGTTATTTCAAAAATAAAATGTGAAATTTCAATATTGTAGAAACATCAGAACTATGATAATATTTCGAATCTTTGGACTTTATGAATGTTTCAAAACGGAATCTTTCTTTAGTTAATCTATTCGTATTTTACATACATAATAAATGAAGGGATTTGGTATATGTATTATAAAGCATATTACATTTCAAACGAGTTCTTTTGTCCAAAATGGCAGTACCTCTCATCAGAGGCGTGTTCTAATTTGCAATATATCTTTAACAGTACTATTTAAATACACGATAACAATTGCTTAGAGTTGAATCCGTGTTGTTTAATGCAACAACATTATACATGTTAGATCTGGCAGTGTTTTCATACTTCCTTCAAAAACGTTCTTTTTGTAAAAGGTGTTATCGATATAGCAAGGGTTCAACATATTAACCAGGTACCATTGGGGGTCATCCCCATCCCATCTACGTTAAACGAATGTATTGAAGTCTTGGTTGACCGTTACGAACATAATGAAACAGTTGTATCCCAGCTGGCTACGAATATATCCCAATTGTCGTTACTTCAATCCCGTTCTTCCTAGCTTAATGGTAACATTACCAGATGTAGGAATTAACCAAAAGGTTTTTGGTGCGGTACCTGATATTTTATTTACGCTTTTTTATGTATTGATTATAAGATAAATAAAAGCAACAAAAATATACCATTTTTCGATAGTCATAATTCGATTAAGCAAAAACAAAACCGGTTAACAAACTAAAACCGAGGGAACACATCAACTATAAGAAGATAAGAGCGAAACAATAGAAACACTGAACCATCAGAAACTAAAATGCCGACATACATAAACCTCCTGCTTATATGACAATGTTAATAATACCGCTAAAATGACAACACTACGTGACAGGAATACAGTACAAAAATCACAAGAACACTCAGCACAGAAAATTACATAATAAAATAATATAATAGTAATAAAAACATTTCACAGTAAAAACCAAATTCAAACAAAACCAGGGGGACTCCTTTGATGTCTTTCTTTTTATTTTTTTACTATGGCGTTGACAATACCTTGTCGACAAGATAGGTTCCGACCCGTTGGATCAAAAATTTGTTTTTCTCAAAGAAATGTGGTTATGTACGACAGACAGTGATGTATTATGTAATTCATTATAGTGTTTGGGTTTAACATCTTAAATACTTCAGATTTAACACTTCATTTAGAAGTACTCTAATGTTTGTTTTGTTCATAAATATCAGTATGGACGCAACAATTTGTATGATTGAATTTAGAATGTTGTAGGATGCAATGGGGAAGGTTGTATTTTGAAATCTTAACAACGTACTGTTATACATTGTTGGTGAGGACTGTCTATTTGAGCAGCAGAAACAGTTAAAGAAATTTATGGGTTAAATTCTTTTTTTTTATAGATCTCTCAAACCTTTAGAAACGGATGGACTGCAGATATAGCTTACCAAACATGCCAAGAAGCTTTGACTACAGCAATTCCGTCTGATGTTTACAGCGATTTTGTTGAGGTGGATGTGGAAAATTTTATCCAATCATGCGTATCAGATATTGAAGTAGGTCTGGTTAAATAATTACTATAAATCAACGTACTGGTAATTTTGAAATATCCCATAGACCACAGACACTATAAAGCTGCAGGCGGAATGTACATAAATGTGTTTTGCAATATAACTAAACAAACATTGTACACGCATTTGACATTCCATCTATCGACAAACACAATTATCAGGAATAGAAAACAGCTTGCTCGATAAATATTACGTTTTGATGAAACTAAAAATTCGGAACTGATCTTCTCATCAAATTATTATTTGTGTCTTGAGGTCTCTCTCCGGGTGCAAGATTTTCTCTTTGCGTTGGAGACTCATTGGTTGCCTTGGGGGTGTTATCTGCTCATTTGTCGAGTTGTTGTCTCTCATATTTCCCTTTTTCATTCTCAATTTTAAACTTGAAAGGTGTATTGTCTGATTATTGGCAGAATATACATGGAAAATGTTTGTATACAATAGTGTACACATTATTATTTTGTACAGTTATTACTTGTACAGTTATTACTTGTGCAAATACAATTGTACAAGTAATTACTGGTGGAATTTTGATTGAGAAAAAGATAATAACCTGTACGAATCATTATTCAAGATTGATCTATTAGATTTTCACAACTAATCTTTTCTATTTAAAAAGATATTTTATGACTTAGCTTAAAAGTATAAACTTTTAACAAGCGAGTATTTTCTATATCATAAATATCAGTGCAAAACTGTTTAGTTTAGTAGGCATTATTGAAGTGTTCGGATGAAAAACATCCCAGAAAAGAAATTTCATGATGAAATGCTAAAACTGTGAGATGACAATAAATCTTCTAATAATTCAGTATTCACACGTGAAAGATATTGAGAGACTATTTGTAATGTAAAGGAAGCCAAATTAAATTTCGAAAAGACAGCACTTCGAAGATATTTTTAGGGCAGTAAGATGTTTTGAATGTAGCAGGAATTGACAAAAACTCATTCGCAAACGAGACGAATTATCTATTCTTGTACAGTTGATGAACTTCACCCTCTGATTAGAACAGCACATTCTGGAATTGGTCATGGAGGCAAACACACAACTTATAAGGAGTTAAAAAGAAACAGTTTGTCAATATCAGCAGAAAAATTATCAGGATTTTCTTTTAGATGTGTGAGCAGTGTATTTTGAAAAAAAAAGTTGCTCTGAATCCACCAAATTAATTGTTCGTCCAATCATTACTATTTTATACTTTTGGGACTTCCACATATCCTGCAAGTGATAATGGAAGAAACTTTACGGCTAATATATTATTAAACTTAAGTTTCTGTGGCAAGAGCTTAAATTAGTGCATGGTAGACCAAGTCACCCTCAAAGTCGGGAGTCCGTTGAAAGAGCGAACGCTGACATAAAGAGTATGTACAACAACACGCACTGGTCTAAAAGGATGTAGATCTGTGCAAAGCAATTCCATAAAAAAAAGGATTATAATGATTATAATAGTAATTAGCCCAACTTTCAGAGAACAAGTGAATTTTGCTCTCAATTAAAAATATGAATAATCAAAATAAATGGTAGAAGGTTTTAATATTGGTTTTCCTTTTAACGACTTTGTCACTTTGCACCTGTAGTCCGAATTTAAGTGTCAACAAGCTATTATTATATAACAAGTTATTACTGTGCATCCATCGTTCTTCTGTAACCTTTTAACATTTCAAAATCAATACTAATGAACACTTGAGAAAAAAAGGAAGAAAAACAAACACAATATAAATTTCAAAAAATATACGCTGAATAATGTCTACTTAGCAAAATATAAACAAACAAATAAATAAGAAAAACAAGTAAAAGGTAGAAATAATTACCAAACAAATGACAAAAAAACAAAGAAAGAAATTTTTTTTAATAAAACAAAAAAGAGTTACAGAAGGGAGAAACAAATATAGCTCAAATATAGTGAGTTGTACAAGCAATTATCTTTTTCCCAACAAAAATTGTAAAGGTAATTACTTGTACAATTATATTTGTACAAGTAATAACTTGTATGATGGCATCGTAGGAGTAATTACTTGTACAAAGTTTTTGTACAGGTAATGACTTGTACAAAATAAAAACATGTACACGACATATACAATATTTGTTAAGGTTATCCCGTCGCAAATTTTACGGACGCCATCACGAGTTCTTTGACCATCAAGGAATATCCGTGTAACAGATTATCACGGACATAGTTTACTTGTCGTCACAGCAATCCGTCCAATTTTCATAGATTTTGACATAACCGAATTAGACTTACATCGAATTTAAACTGGTTATGAGGAACATGAATGTGACGGGTGAAACATGTTGAATATGAACGTCTCACGTTTTCGGATGTTCTATTTGTCATTTTCACTATTAATAAGGGTTGCTAATTTTTTCCGCAAGTGTTAAGGGTCATTCCGTGTCCAGATTGATAATTGCGCTCTCGTTTGTTTCTTGACAAAACTGGAAGAAGACGTTATTGTAATTGAGAACAAAGCATTACAATACATAGACAATAACTGTTTACTGTCTCTACATATCAGCCTTGTTTGGTTGAGGCTAAGACACGGGTGTAATGCGAGCTCCAGAGAACTATTACTTCTGTTTCGAGCCGAATAAAAATACAGCTGGAATATAAAGACACTGAACAGTTATTGTCCTTATTCTGGATATAAATGTGTACATTTTTGTCTTTGAATTTGTTTTTGAATTATATCGACATGACTTAAACGCAGACCGCAATGATGACTCTAAATTTAACTGTAGTGTGTACAATAGTTTGACATAACCGTTCGCTTGAAACAGAAGCAGGGTACCCGGAGACTATTAACATCTAGTATACGTTTATAGCTTTGTGTTATCTGTACACCTGTATCAGGTTTGCAGAAAGGTCGATTGCAGGATACATTCATTTTATTCGTGTCTATGTGCATCCCTAATATATAAAAGTCCCCGCAGGACACACAACGGAGCACCGTTAATAACCTCCGACTGTTGGTAGGGTTCATGCTGACTATTTTACTCTTCTATGTAATGTTCTGTGAACTAATTTTAGCTGTTCGTGGTTTTTTCTTTTTGCCATTTTCGTTATAACTTATGAGCTTACATCGTCCTCTTGGTATCGTCGTCTTTTTCTTGGACAAATGATAAAAAGATGATTATAAGAAAATATAAATATATTAAATTAACGAAGAGTTAAACTTAGTCAAATTTTAAACGAGTGAGAATTGAATCTCGCTTGAAATCAACGCAAATCGTTGATATAGTCTGTTGCAAATATTTGCATGGCGTATTAACCTTTGAAAATCATCAATTACCTGACAAATAGCCATTGGAAATGCCGTAATATCATCTCATGATAATGGATAATCCAAGCTAGTTAATGCTGTTTTCGTATCACAATCCACGCAGTGCGCCACGAGACATATTTATTCATGCAAGAGATAGATAGCATGCCACAACCATATTAGAATAAATCATATTTAGCAATGTATTTTAAACTGCTCTTTCTAAAAGTTATATCGTTTTAATAATTAATAATTAATAGTAGTATTGTGATTAATACTTAAAATCTTTTATGGAATAATTGTTAAGGCAATGACTGTGACGAGAGAATGTATCGCAATTTTTTTAAAATCAGAAATGGCAACAAAACCTCACTAAGAAATTGTTTTTATTATGTAGCTTGTCTATGATTCACGATTATGTCGAGTTGTATCAATATTATAGGTAACGGGGGATAAGTCATTTCTAACGGATACTATAAATGCTATGGCAACAAATATCATGACGGAAATCTCCAGAAATGAATCACTTTTCATTATGAACACAACTGATGGCTCACAGACAATTCTTGAGCAAATTACAAGCAAATTATGTATAAACAACTGTAGTAATAATGGCATCTGTGTTTCAGGTATATATATTTCAAATAATCTGTGTTTCAGGTATATATTTTTCAAACATTATTAAAAGCTTTGTTTATTATGATAGTCGTCCGTTGGTATGTAAATGTTTAACGAAACATTTTGTTTCTCGTCTTCACGTTTAAATGAAACAACACAACAGGGAAAACGATTATATTGGAAAATTGAAATTATAAGTCGAAGAAAACAAAATACCATAATCACAAGGTAACAAGACGAAAAGATAAAAAACAGATTACACAGAATACAAAACTCTGATCACCAAGGAAGCTATATGTTGATTATGGCAGATTGGAAAAGCTATTTTTTTTATAAAGTATTAGGTTGCAAATATTAATTTGTTACAATTTTCAAATCGATTTTGTATACTAATAAGTTATATTAGTTACTGGTTTGAATAACGATTTAAAGCATACATATAAAGAAAGATTATTGACAACATGACTTTTTGATAAATTAAAGTTAGAACAGTCGCCTTTCTCACTGTGATACTGTGGAACTTCTCTTTGTTCAATTGTTTCGTTTATCCAACTACACTTACACGAATTACATGAAGTTAAAATCGTGCATTTTAACCAGTTCTGGCAGTTCTTTATATTTGTCTTTGACTCAAGATAAACATGATATAAGCAGCACATTTCAAATATATCATGAGCAATTTTACAAAGAATATTCTAATTGTGAGGATAGAAAGTGTTTTTTTGTAATCAAGGAGACCAATTATAGCATATCATTATTTTTATTAAGTCTATATGAAGTCTATAATTTCTTTAGGTCATTGTGAGTGTTCAAATGGATATATTGGTGATGACTGTTCCAAAACCACTGCAACACCCCCTGTTAACATAAGTCTGCCAGCTGAAGGTTTATGTACTACAACAACACGTTCTTGCAAAAAGACTAATATCTATGGCGACTTTTTGTCAATGGACGTTTGGTATAAGATCCGATATTTTAAGGTATAAACACAATGTACTTCGTCAAATTATATATATGTATAGCAATTTCTCTGATATAAGTACTAATTTAGATCGTTTATGTTTTCAATATTGAAAATATCTCACAGTACATTCATTTGTTGAAAATCTATTAATGAGTTATGACGTCAGAAACATTTTGATGCATTTCCTTCGACTAAGCAATAGTTTGAATGTAAAATGAATATCCTAATTGACAGAATATTCAATCAATTGTGCCTGTCCCTAGTCAGAAGCATGTAAATGTATTTCAATTAATGATCAATTTAAATTTGAAAATTCGTCAACAAATCTTGCTCTGAATTGCATAGCTTTATATGATCCAGTAATTACAAAATTGAAGAAAGACAATGAAAGTGTTGACCCTTTCATGCTTTGGTTATTTGTTTCATTCTAATCTAAAATCATTTGCTCTTAAGCATGTTAAGTCATGCTGCATTTACTTTTTTAAGCCTACCAACTGTTTTGATTCAAGCGCCTCTGATGAGTCCTATGAAGCCACATGTGGTTTATAAAATAAAAAAATGGTATATTTGATGTATTTTATATAATTATGAGGTTAATAATTTATGATATATATTCAATATTAGGTAGTTGATAATTCTAAATTGTACTCATCAAACTGGGAAAATTACAAGGCTCAGTACAGAAATATGTTTATGGTTACCGTCGACCTTGGTGTATCAAGAAAAACTCGTTCAGCCTCGGGACCTACGATGGCAGAAGGATATGAGATCACACTGTCGAACGACGGAACCAATTTTGGAGAGGAAGTTACCATCCTTATTTATGACGAAGGATGTTTTTCATGCAATAGCTCGATGACTTGTGTTTCATTGGTAACTATCAATTTTTTTTATACATGAATGTAGAAGCGAGATAAATGACGCATATTACATGTATAATGGGAAAAAAATATAAATATATTATTCAAGATAGATATTAAACCAATAATGAGAACATCATAATAAAATTTTCAACTCAATCATTTTTAATGATAATAATATAATGTTTAATCAATGTATAACATGCTGTTCAATATGCTGTTATCAAATTTTGATACTCATAAGTAAATTGTTTACCATACACGTCCTGTCATGTTCATAGCTATTTTGGTGTATTCATCTGTTTATTTAATATTATGATGATATGATACTAAACCCCTAACGGGAGGGATTGTGCTTGATTTTAATATGATAAAGACATATGAAGATGTTTTGAGGTGTGTTTGTTTGTTTTACATTGACTAGACGTATGTGGAGGGATGAGATGTCACGAAACTTTTTTAACCCCGACGCATTTTTGACGCCTGTCCAAAGTCAGGATTTTATATGTTGTTTTTTTTTATTTTTAGTTTATTAATATGTTTTCGAGTTGAGTGTAACGCCCATTTTTACTTTAAAACTAGTACACATTTTGTTTAGGACCAGCTGAAGTTTGCCTCCGGGGCGGGATTTTTTCGCCGTGTTGAAGACCAATTGGTGTCATTCGGCTGTTTCCTTTAGTCGGGTTGTTGGCTTTTTGACACTTTCCTTATTTCCATTTTCAATTTTGTATCTAACTAACTTTAATTAATTTAAGATCAGCTTGCATATATGAGGGCCTCGGAGGCCGAGTAGTCTAATTAGTAACTACTGTAATCACTAACAAGTCAACACTGAGGTTGTGAGTTCGAAGCCCGCTCGTGTGGGTACACTCGACTCCAATCCTAATTGACTAGGATTGTTAGTTTTTCTATCGAAGCTCGGTGATTTTCTCCGGACACTACGGCCGCCACCAAATAGCACAAACGCGGTGCTTAAAAGTGGCGTTAAAACACACAAAATCAAATCAAATCATATATGAATATACATAAAAAATCATTTGTTGAAATGGGGCCAAATAAATGATTTTGAAACTTAGTGAGATACATTATAAACAGTTGATATAAATAGTGCATTGTAAATGACAAAAATGTATTGCAGGAAGTCTGTGAATCAACAACAGAGAAAGATGAAAGAAACAAAGGTAACAAACAAATTAAAAGAGTGATGCAAATAGCCATGTAAAAGTAGGTGTGGATAATATGTCAACGAGAGAACAACCAAACGATTGATATCCGGAACATGACATCTAGCAGTCGACATTTAAGATTCAGTAATATATAGATGTGTATGCTATATGGCCAGTTGTTCATTAACCAAAATTATGTATTCAAATAATTAGCGTTTGGGAAATAACTGCCTTAAACAAAGAAAGGGATAAACAATTTGTATAATATATAACTAAACAACTCTACTGATTTTTTATTTTAAATATAAATCAATAAAAAGGAAAATCACACAAATACTTATCTCCGAGGTAAATTCAACATGTTCAAAAAGGATAGTTCCTAACCAAAAGGCAAAATCATAGCTCAAACACATCAAACGAATGGACAACAACTGTAATATTCTTGACTCTGTACCGGCATTTTCTTATGTAGAAAATCGTGGACTAAACCTGGTTTTATAGCTTGCTAAACCTCTCACTTGTAAGACAGTCGCATACAATTAATCATATTGACAACGATATGTGAATAAAACAAACAGACAGAAAAGATAAAAATGTAAAAAAATCTTAATCACTATAAAAAGAAACAAATATGTAAACAAACATTTATCATGACACAATAACGCAATGACGGGATGTATAACATGTATAAGTACAGAGCCACGTCATATGTAACAAAGAAAAACAAAAACGGCATATAGACAGAGCACACCATCAAAAATGAAAGACAGGAATACAACAGTCATCTTAATAAAATAACACAATGACGGGATGCATTAGTACAGAGCCACGTCATATGTAAAAAAGAAACACAAAACATAAAAAGGCATATAGAAAAAGCACATGAGCAAAAAATAAAAAAAAGAAAAGAATGCAAATAAAAATATCATAAAACAATAACGCAATGAGAGGATGTATAAGAACAGATAACTTTTATTTATATATGTTGTCCTTTAAGATACTAACAAGACCATTATAGCACTAGCTTCATCTTTTGGTGTGATTGGTGTGTTTGTGTGTTTGTTAGCTTTACTATTCTACTTGAAGCACAAAAACAGTGATGAAAAGTAAGTGTGTTTTTATATATTTTCTTACTTACAGTTTGACCTTTTACACTAGTACTGACAGTTCGTACGTTTTTATGGTAGTTTTTATTACGGTTTATTCAATTAACTATCTTTATATATATATATATATATAGTAAGGAGATGTGACATGATTGCTGATGGAACCAAACAGAGGAGATATAAGCAATATTAAATCATCCGACCCCTTTTAATAGTGCGGAAAAGCCTTCTTGAAAGTATAGTATGCTATTATAACTTCTCACCAATCCCCATCATGAATAATTGTGATACAATGAAAAAAAAATGATCATTATGTATGTCAAAACATTAACCGAAAAACAGATGTAACAAACGACAACTGAAGACAAACACTGAATAACAAGCTATAGAATTGGCACATGCCATTTATGAATAAGGCGAGATTTAACATGTTTGTGAGCGCTTAACCCTTCCGTACCTACGACCAATGGTATAAAACTAGTACAACAACAAAAATATAGTGTGAAAACCAGTTGAAAATGAATTACATATTCAGAACGGCCAGAAAAACAAAGTAATATTAAGACAAAATGTACAAAGCACCGATATAAGAGTACATTGAAAGCTAGCCCAAAGCGTCTTTTCTTCCACTTCTGAATATTCATATTTTTGTTTGTTGATGCTTAAATAATGTCGTAGTTTTTTTTAGTATATATGTTATTATTTTCATAATTATTCATAACTATCAAGCATGCCTTCCCCTCTTCAACTGAAACGAACAGTATGGGTTTACAGAATTGATTTCATATGGTCTGTAAATAAACGAGAAACGTGTGAATAGTATTGGGAATGAAGATTGGTTTCGTCTTGACATTTGTAATTCGGTTATTATGTTTAAATAGCCAATATTGTACATTACTTCTTGATATTTACAAAACTGACCGTGTGTATTTATTGTTTGTTCAGGACAAAAGTTGGTGTTTATACTGACAGCCACCACGACAGTGATAAAAAGGTGAACAATGATATGTTGTCAAATGGGATCAAGACATTTAAGGAAAATTCCATAAGCGATCTCGATCTTCACTTCTGAGGACGGCGGAGACGCATCAATTTACAATATCGAGAAACAGCTACCACCACAAAACCATTTCATGAACAATTTATAAATTTTCAGAAAATAAGATCAGTTTGATATAGCATTATGGATTTCTTTATGACTTTTTTCTCAAAATTAATATACGTTGTATTGATACTTCCAGAGTCGAAAATTGGTAAGAAAGTTCTATAAATGTATAAAATGTTTTTACTCTATTACTTCGTATTTGAAGTTAACTTCCAACTTATTTGATTCTAGTGCCCTTAAAAAAAGACGTAACGTGAGTCTAACACTACAAATTATTATAATTATTTTTTTATGTTTAATAAATAAGGACAGTAATGTAAAGTTTTACTTTGTCTTCCTGTATTATTCAATCATTAGAACTAGTGGAACTATATATTTTAGTATATTTGCTGATTTGTGTGTTTTAAGAATGAAACAATATTTTACTCATTGAAAGGACAGACATATATTATCATAATTTTGACAGAATGACCTGGAGTCATTGACCTGCCAAAGAAATTGATAACAATTTCAATTACATTACAGTTTTTCCAAATTGTAAACAATGCAATATGAGACTTGTTTAAATGCACTTTTATCATTAAAATATTTGTAGAAGCATTCGTTCGAGGTTCGAGGTTTGACATTTCATATTTTTATTTGAGCATTTAATTATTATTAGATGTATGGTTTAAAAAGTATTAACAGAATATATCGGAGTCCAAGGTTTATAAAAAACGGGGGATGTCTTTCAAAATTATGAAATCAAACGTTAACTTATAACCCAAAGAGGGGAATTGAAAACTTCTTTCATATTCCTGATTCGGTACAAGCATTCTTCCAAGGGAATGATGGGTGAAACCTTGCTCAAACTTAGTTGTTGTCGTTTGTTGATGTGTTGCATATTTGCTTTTCGGTCATTTTTTGTACATACGTTTTGCCGTTAGTTTCCTCGTTTGAATCGTTTTACATTTGTTATTTCAGTGTCTTTTATAGCTGACCATGCGGTATGGTCGTTGCTCATTATTGAAGGACGTACGGTGACCTATAGTTGTTAATTTCAGTGTCACTTGTTCTCTTGTGGAGTTGTCTCATTGGCAATCATACCACATCTACTTTTTTTTATATTAGTAGCAATATATCAACTTCATTTGAATATGGGATATATATTTTCCACCTTATTCGGTATCCAAGAGCTTGCAGCTGCTACTCAGACAATGTTTGAACCATGGGGTATGTCATAAAACGTCTCTTTCTTTTGTACAAAAGTTCATCGGAAGATACCAAGACCTTGTTGTTAAATATTCAGTAACAACATTACAAATAATACACGATGATCTAGAAGTAAAGATTCTAGGTATTGACGTTGTTTATCTTCTTAATAACGTGTTATTATATTCTTTTATTTTTTTGTGATTATTGTTTTTACTGCTTTTTGACGTTGCTCGGTACTTATGCATCCCGTCATTGTGTTATTGTAATTTTGTGTATTATAGTCTTTCATTTTTCCAAACGTGCTTTGTCTACATGCCTTTTTGTGTTCCTTTTTTGACATATTTGTTTGTTTGTATAGTGATTATAGTTATAACACAATGTCGACTGTTGTACCCCTACTGTTGACATTTTTACCTATAATGTCTGTTTTTTGTTCACACATCGTTGTCAATATTGTGGTAATTTATGCGACTGTAATAAAAATGAGAGGTTTAGCTAGCTTTAAAACCAGGTTTAATCCTCAATTGTCTACGTAAGAAAATTACTATACCAAGTCAGGAATATGACAGTTGCTATCCATTCGTTTGATGTGTTTGAACTTTGGATTTTAAATTTTCCGCGAATTTCGGTATTTCTTAATTTTACATTTTTTCCATATACTAGCTACACCTCCCACTTGTATAGGAGTTTTTTTTTTTTTTTTTTTTTCTGTTAGTTGAGTTAATGCCGATTGATATTGTGTTTTGTTTTACTTTACTTTTGTTTTGTATGCAAATCTTGTGTCCACCCCCTAAAAGGTATTTTAAATGGAGAGGATTTCTTCAGCAAATTACCTAACAGTTTTCAACAATCAAATGCATAACAATTTTCAAACTTAATAACGTGAGTGTTAGGAAGACTCATATTCTATATGTTGCATAACATCAAGATCCATTGTTGTACTTCTTTAATTAGTTAAGTAAGAATTCTATAATATTAGTATTGAGCGTGTGTATTTTTCCGCATCAAATATACACGTAAGTCAGTTTCACGAGCTTGAGCTATCCAATTTTCTTTAATCACTTATTACCAATCACCTGGAACGTCAAATGTCAAATGAACTGGTGATGTTAAATAGTTTCGTCGCCTATATATATTAAATCTGTCCAGTAACTATAAAGTGTTCCAATATATATTACAAATAACACATGGAAAATAAGTGGAAAGGTACAGCATCTGCTTGATAATAGCTGAACGAAAAAAATTAAAACAATTTAATGTAGTTTTAAATACATGTAGACCGACAAAAAAATGTTTGAAATTGCAAGAAATGAGTTACATTTCTTGATCTCTAAATTTGCAATGGAAATAATATGGAAAACAAGCAGCATTTCTAGTTTTTGTTTGTCCTTTACATATTTGCATAAACAAAATATGTTCAGGAAGACATCATCGTGAACGAAATAAACAAAATATTTTCGTTTTCATCATCACATTCAAGAGTTGTTGGTATTTCTTTTTTAATTTCATAAATGATTTAGAATTTTCAAGTAGCATAGTTTCTCGCTGCATTGAAGACCCATTGGTGGCCTTCGGCTGTTGTCTACTCTTTGGTCGAGTTGTTGTTTCTTTAGCATATTCCCCATTTCCATTCTTAATTTTATACATTCTTAGTGAACTAAAAATTTGTTAAATAACCACTGAAGTATAGAAATTCGAACAACAGTAATATACAGAACTTGTTGGATTCCAGCGTTCGATAGTTTGGGATGTCAGCACTCCTACAGTTTCGGATGCCATTATTTATTCAAATCGCGATGCCTGCAGCCGGAATATTACAGATTCCAAGGAAAAACAAGATGTGAAAACCGATCTTTACGGGTTTTTGCTTCTCAGCTACATTTAGATATCTCAGCGTAATCAACATCTGGACCATTTTAAATTCTAACAACAGAAATTAAATTTGAAACAGCAGTTATGTCTGGAACAGATGCCGTAGTGACAAAAATGAAACTAGGGAAAAAAAAACGCATATTCAAATCACCTGAACATAACATTAAAATATTATTTCTGTCAATTCATTCACGAATCCACTACTATAGCATTATGTTATTGTTCTATTATAATTTTGAAAATACTTTGAACGACAAAATTATTTTATATCTCTACCTGTGTAACGTTTATGTTCTGACGTCAAACACACGATTCTAGACCAGAGTTGATTTGAACCTATTCATTCAGACATAAGACTTCAGATATTTCAATCCTTTATGGGTTGATTTAAAATACAAAAATAAGTAAGCAATGAACGTGGTTTTTAAATTTGATATATTCTTTTTTGTGCTTCTATGTTAAACATTTGTTTGTTTATGTTCTGATTGAGATTGTGACACGGTGATGACTACTGTACCCCTATTGTGACAATGTTACCTATTATGTCGTCTGTTTTGTTTATGCATCGTTGTAAATATAATGGAATTTGATGCGACTGCCATACAAGTGAGAGGTTTAGCGCTTTAAAACCAAGTTCAATCCACCATTTTCTACATTTGAAAATGCCTGTACCAAGTGAGGAATATGACAGTTGTTGTCCATTCGTTTGATGTGTTTTACCATTTGATTTTGCCATTTGATTATGGACTTTCTGTTTTGAATTTTCCTCGGAGTTCAGTATTTTTGTGATTTTACTTTCTACTACTTATAATTCTCTAGTACATAATTTGGAGTGGATTTCTCACTTTCGGGCATTGCATGTGAATATATGTAGATATCTATGAGCATTGTTGTTAAATAATCTTGCTGCACTAGGAAATGCCTCCTTACACAATATGGGGAAATCACAGATTCTAGACAACAACAGATGAAATCATTTTTGAAAATCCGATTTTATCAACAAGTTGATATTTGTTCAGCTGAAGTATATTTTATATTATCTTTGTCTCTCAATGTTTTATTAGTGTGTACAATGGCAACCTTATTAAGATACAGGATTTGAATATTTCCTTTTAATCTTTTTTTTTAATTGATAGGAGTTAAACAAGTGTAATTTGAAATAGTGGATACATTTTTTTGAGTTGGAAGTTGCTAACAATATGTAAAATTACATAGAGTGTTAAACGATGAATGCCCCTATTGTGTAAATCAATCAAGGCCTTCAGTTAATTTTGATCAAGACAGAATGAAGTTCCGGTTTCACTGTGTATATTATTTCATGTTACATATTTTGTAAATTATATAACAGTAAAGCAACACAATAAAGTGATATACTTTATACAACCATTGATATTTAGGGTCTTGTATCTTTGTACATTGATTCTTTTCAAAGTCAGGATGTTTTAGCAACACATCAGTGGGATCAACATTAATATTGTGATGATTACAGAATGTTTGCTTATTTATGTTTATAAATAAGCGATGTATGGTCTAGTTTTGAAGTATAATACTTTTTTCATATTTCATTTAAAAAACGTACATTATATTATTAGTTTTGTAAATGCATATTAAGAAAAACTCGCTTGTCTATGTGCACAGGGTAAAATGGACTTTAATAGCAAATGTTTAGTTTGTTTATTTGCCTTTGTATTACACATCTTTCTAGCATTAGCCGAAGATAAGATTTTTTAAAATGATATGCCAGAAAACCAAGTAGTCAAATAATACAAAACCCACTAACACAATTTTTTTCAGAACTTATGCTATCATGTCAACAAACAAAGTATCTGTGTAAGAGAAAGTTATCCTTTAATACAAAAAGAAATGCAGATATCGTTAACGATACGCAAATATTAATACACCAGTTAGTATTGATCTTCAACAAAACTAATAAAGACACACATATATCTGAAGCAATCACAAAAAATAACAAACTCTTGTATGTAACCTATGACGTATGACAAACAATTAATAAAGTAATTGCAAACGATCTAACTGAATGGAAAATAACTCATAATATTTATACCATTGATACCAAAACATTACAAAGGCAGGTACAGATAAAGAAAACTGTTATGAGCATTTTTTAATTTGTTGCTTAAAGGTATGTTTTCTTATCTGGGTGTTTTCGACATTGTATAGCTTTTATTAAACAACAACAAATGTGTCCAATTGAATCTTTATCCAATATATATATTGCTGAAAAATACTTATCTTCGATGTATATAATATGCTTTTTTGTATGAGTATTCGCAAACCTTAGTTCATGAATATACCAGTGAATATATAGAGAGTTATATTGCTTATATCAACATGATCAAAGATTTACTCCAGAAAATAAATCTACCATTTTAAAAAGTGTAAGATTATTTACAAAGGATATTGCTTGTACCGTGTTTGCAGTTGTGTTAATAATTTAAAAGTCAGATAAAAAATCTCCTTACTCTATTTTTTTAACTGCGAAAAATCTTGCACTGCTGTTGATCCCAATACTCTT